TTAGAAATTTGAATGCTGTCTGCTGGTATAAGACCAACGGGCAAGGTGCTGGAAGTTTTTATACGGTTGGGTGTTTATCTTTTGATACTTACAGTGTTGCTAGTATCTTCCAGCTTTAACAGATGTTGAGGAATTTATTCCATAGAAGTTCTCCAGAGCAAACAAATGTAAGAATTGATTGAGAATAAGTAAAATGAAAGTAAAATGAAATATCTAAATTAAGCATCTCAGTGAAAAGATTTCTAAACATTTGTACTGTAGAATAACTGTAACTCTTTTACTGTTACTCTGTATAAAGCAAAATTGTGACAGGTACAGCATCCTCAATGATAATGTGAAAGGCAAAGTGTATAACAGCGGAAAGCTAGACAGGTGATGAGCTTAGAGTAATGCTTACTGCCTTTCTGTTACCTTGTCTGCTACAGCCTCTCTCTCTATTTGGCGTTTCCACCTCTTCTGGCTCTTTTTAAACCTAGACTGCAAACGTTCTGAGCAAGAACTGTGTTTACAGAACAGCTAGTGTCATGGGGTCACGGGTGGTTAGTGCAGAGGGGGTCTACTTCAGTACACATAATACATCACTAAGGCTTATAACAGGTCCTTTGGAAGTACAGGAGGGCAACTCAATTTCACACATTTAAAATTGTCTGTCCACGTAAATATCCTCCTATCAAAGACTCTTAAGAACTAGGTCTTACTGAAGGAAGTCCTGGCAAACTCTTAGGTCGTAGGGAATAGTTGCTGGTTTATGTGGCCTTTGAGCCTGTTGTATCTTTTTATTCCTCCCCTTTTTCATGGAATATGTTTTCTTCTAGCTTTCCAGAACCCTGAATACGGTAACTTCTTAAGAGATTTTTTTTGTGGCTCTGAGAAAGTTTGACTTAAGGAATGCAGATGTTTTGGGCCATATCTCCCAACACCTTGCTGCATTTTACCACCATTCACAGTGAAGACTCTGTGAAAGGATTTTGCAAATGCTGTCTTTTGAGACTTGCTTTTAATTTATAGGAGTTCTCATTTTCAAAATGAGCATATTGTACTCTGGGGTTGCCACTGTAATGTACAATTTTAAAAAAATCTGCTTTATGCAAATGGGTGTGATTATACATCTATATTAGCTTAGGTTTAGCTAGAAAAAAAGTATTATTGATGGTTTAGTTGGGGATTTTGCACAGTGTAGACCATAGTGTTCAACTCATCATCATGACTGACTTTTTTTTTTTCCTTAAGTAGGGACAGTCTAAGTATTTTCCTAGTATTGACACGAATTAGTGTAATTTACATAATGTTATATGTTCTAATACACACTTTCAAAAAAGGCTTCACAAAAAGGTGTTCTCTTGCATGCTGCAAACATGCATTGTTTTCTGTACAATTTTGGCTGTTTATTTTGCATTTGCTACTGGCATCATCAATATATGTCAATTCACAACTATGGGATTGTTTAATTTCAACCAACTAGTGAAAAAGTTGAGTAGTTTCTGTGGCCTAAAGATAACTTTCAAATGAAATCTAGAGTTTAAAGCGCACACAACAAGAACAACAACTAAAGCTTTTATTCTTTTTTTTTCCCCAAAGTGGAGGAACTTCTATCCTAAATTATGTAGTATGATACATAGTTCAGCCATGGTACTATTGTTTTGTTTTTTGATTTTTTTTCTTTTTTTTCTTTTTTTTTTTTTTGTGATAAGACAGAGCATAATATGATGGTCTGTTAAAGCAACAACAGGGAAATAGCTTGATTTTTAAGGTCCTTATTTTCATTCAAGTGTCACAATTCAGAACAAATTGTGACTTTTTGATATTGAACAACATGCTGGAAAGCAAAGTATCAGTCTTTCCTATAACCTGTGTAAGACTGGTTTTCAGTGGATGTTGACATACGAAATATTACGGTATTACCATAATCTTTATTTAAGCTTGCAGCCTATGTGCTGTGTTTAGCTATTACTGCACACTTGCCTCCCTTCCAGCTCTCAACTCTTTCCCTTCCCCCTTTGCTTTGTAGTGACATGTAGGGTTGGACAGTCCCTCTTTGAAGGTGTAGAGGGTTACTAGTTCACTGTTATAGCTGTCTGAAAGCTTGTTGGATTTTTTTTTTTTGAATCATGTCTGCTAGTTTACATTCTCTAGTGTCATACAGATATATTTTTCCTTTGGTGTGGTAGAGTAATTTTTGCATCAAGTGCTCAGATTTTCAGTACCTTTAACACAAAAGCCAGTTCTGGATTTCAGTAGTGAATAGCTTGAAAATTATGGCTGAAGATAGGCTTGGTTTAACAGCTGAATGTATTTTAGCAATACTCTTTTGCAATTCTTCACAAAATGTATGGAAAAAGGTATTTAAAATTAATAATGTATTTGTCTCATATGACAGTGATTAATGAATTCATACCAGTTTTGCCCCAAATAGGTTAATTTAATTAGCATTTCAATAACTATGCTGCTTACCTGTTGCTGTAATTCTGTATGCTACTTTCTGAATCAGTGTTTGCCTCTAAAGAAAATAAGCTCAGATCCAGCTAAAATGACTTTTTCTTTGTTATTCTTCTCACTAAAATAAACAATCAAGAAAACCCAAACATTAATTTGAATTGAATGAAATGTTTGGCCCGGCTTGAGACTATTTTATAGTCATCTTTAACAAATAAAAGAATGGGAAAATGGGAATGAAAGGGTTGTGGGGTTTTGGTATTGTTTTTTAAAGACATCAGGGAGGATAAAGATGCATTATTTGTACTCTATCTTGCCTGTAGTCTGGCTCTGGCACTTGCAAGGAATGTGGGAGAGCCAGGTTTGCTTCCCTGCTTTGCCTGAGGAGCTGAATCCACATCTCGGCAGAGTTCCCCAACTGCTTCTGCTGAGCACCCTGTGTTGGGTGGGTCTGTGTCTCCTTGGCTGACACCTTCCTCTTTGTATACATTATTTAAATGTTCACTGTAGTAGGGACAGCTGAAGTTTCTCATCTTAACAGTCAAATTAGCCAGCCGCACAGCTCTGGAGATGTTTTCACTTGCTTAAGAGGGAGTAGGGAAGTATTTTTAAGTGAAAATGTCAGTAAAAGAAATAATACAATTCATTCCATAACACACAGTAAGCCAGCAATTGGGACTTTCCACCCTCTGAGAGGTGTTCTCCATCTCAAGAGAAAAAAAAAAAAAGTGTGTGTGTGTGTATATATATATATATATATATATATCAATCACCATCTTACTGAATAAGAGCAGTAAGCCCTGACTGGTGGGGAGAATGCTTTGCTAATTTAACCCATTGATGCTTGATCCATATGAAGCTCAGAAAAGAGGACAAAGCACCATCCTGGCCACTAAGCGCTGCAGAGTCCAGTGTTTTCTGCATTCAGATTTGGAGTCAGTTTACTTTCCGGATTTTCTAAGATGGCAGAAAGATTTCTTGGTTGGTTGGGTGTTTTTTTTTTTAGTGTACTGGGGCAGTGAAACAGCTCGGGCCTCTGCACAATGACACTCATGTCTGTATAATGGTCAGTGGGACTGAAGTTGCAAAACTCCAAAAATGTGTCCTGTGATACACTGTTTTGGTCTGTTTTGTTGCTAAGTCAAAATATCTGACTTAATATGCTCCACTTGCAATCATTCCTTTCTCATATGTGGGGGATGATAATCTTGTGTTGATCCTGTCCTATTGCATGTTGATTAATACACGTGCTAGGTGCAGTGTGTAAACAGTGTGCTTAGCTCCCGGAGAGAAGGCGTAACAAGCCGCCAGATGAATCCTGTAGCGCATTGAAAGGTGTCGGCAAGCTCCTTTGAAATCTTGCATGTGGTATAGACTTGGTTTCATTCATCATGAGATGTAGTCATCCCTAAGCATAAAAAAAATGGAGCAGCACCAAGACAAGTACAAGAATTTGACTTTTAAATCATTTTAGTACTCATTTGGGAGGAGGGGAGGGGGCATTGTCACATCCCAGGACGACCCAGGTTCGCCGATTCCCAGGTCAGGATTCAGGTGAAACGACACCAGGGATCCTTAAAGTCAACTTTTATTCGCTCACCGCAAGAACTGGCGTGAAACTACGTCAGTGAATACGTGTATAACACGTGCTAACCATGCGTCCCCAAACCTATAGCGCAGGCCTCGCTTATTTGGGGATCGGTTGAGGGAAGACCATAAGGAGATCCCTCCCGTTGGGTCAGGAGGTTCAGAGCAGACCCCCTTGCTTTCTAGACCCCTTCTCAGAGAGGAGCCCGGGGGCGGCTGGATCCGCTCCTCGTCCCCGACTTGGTCAAGGGTTTACGCCTAAAGGGATGAGGTGTAGGGAGTACAGGAAAAAAAACCAAACAAAAACCAAACCGGAGAGAGAGAGGAGAGACAGGTGTCGCCGCTCCCGGGTCCGGCGTTGGTCCGGTTCCGGTGGGCTTGCGCGCGCGCGGGGCGTCAGTTGGTGCCCTTTTATCACCTGGCCCCGAACTCATTAGGCTAATGAGGTGTCGCGCGGGGTTTGTGCTTCCGGAACCTTCGGGAAAGGGGTGGGCGGGCCTGGGGAGCGTCGTTTGGGAGCGACTTCTCCCTCCCTGGCGGCGTGAGGGTGCTTTGACCTTTGGCCATATATGGTGAGCTGCCCCGCTCAGCCTATCGGAGCAGGGAGCTGCGCCCCCTCCGGCCCGCCCTCCGCCGCCTGTAGCCAACCGGCTCCTCACCTGCGGTGGGCGGGCCCCTTGTGGGGCAGAGCGCGCCCTCGGGCAGAGCGCGCCCCGCCGCCACGCTGGAGGCCTTGCCTCTTCCAGCCCCTCACAGGCATATTTTGATTTTTCTGCTGTGGAGCGCTAGAGTTGAAAATGTCTAATTTTTCTTGAGGATTATGAGGGCTAGGGATTTTGGAAAAAAGCGAGAGCAGTCATGTAAGTGCAACTCCTGGAGCTGTCGCCTAAAGAGAAACTTGAACATCCCATGACTTGCCACTGTGGCAGTTAACATGACTAAAAAAATTTATTAAAAGGAATTACTTTCTTCTTTTTCTTAGATACAATCATCATCATTAAGTTTGAGTAGCCAGTTTTTAACCTCAAATGAAGCCGCCTGCGTGCAGTGGAACAGATGTGTAAGTGTGTGTGTTTGTTTTTCTTGTTTTTCTCAATAAACTAGTGGGCAGCTTCTTTGTTTTGGGTCTTGTATCATTGCTGTTGTTATTAATTTAGAGTAAGCCAATGGATAAAGGTAATGAATAATTCTGTGCCTGTGCATTGACTTGTATGGAGCTTAGTAATTTAGCAGGAGGTTTGTGTGAGTGCCTGAGACTTGAAAATTAAGTTTGGAAGCCTGGATATCTTTACAGTGTTAGACTACTAGTAACTAGTTTATGATTTTTGGGGCACCTCTTACTCTGTGGTAACAGCTGGCATATATACATCCTTACCCTGCAGTCTACCTCTTAAAAAAGGGCAAGTAACTTAACTGCTACATTCATCCTATCCTCAAATTACACGCATCTTAATTCAGATTTTGATGTCCTCACTGATAAAGTAAATTTTAATATTTTCTTCCAGGGTTTTTGTCTGAAACTTTTTTTTCTTTATATATTCAGTTGGGCTGTTGACTACAGATTTTTTGGAAGCCTGAGATTCCTGACTAAGATGCAATAGAAAAAAATTGTTCGTATGCAGATCAGCATTTATATGTAAATTAACAATAAATGTTATTCTTGTATAGTGTTCAGAGCTTTCTGTTTATTTTTTTTTCTTAGCCCCTTGCCCCAAATAAAATAGCTCAACTTTTAAGCTGCTTGTATTATTGGTTAACATGCATCTTAACAACAGATGGACAAAATGGTTAAGATAGGTAAAATGTTGAGCTAGGAAGTCTTGGCAGGGTCATAGAATCATAGTATAGTTTGGGTTGAAAGGGACCTTTAAAGGTCATCTAGTCCAACTCCCCTGCGATGGGGGACATCTTCAACTAGATCAGGTTGCTCAGAGCCCTGTCCAACCTGACCTTGAATGTTTCCAGGGATGGGGCATCTACCACCTCTCTGGCCAACCCGTTCCAGTGTTTCACCACCCTCGTTGTAAAAAATCGCTTCCTTATATCTAGTCTGAATCTACCCTCTTTTAGTTTAAAACCATTACCCCTTGTCCTATTGCAAGAGGCTCTGCTAAAAAGCCTGTCCCCATTTTTCTAATAAGCCCCCTTTCTTACAAGTACTGAAAGGCTGCTATAAGGTCTCCCTGGAGCCTTCTCTTCTCCAGGCTGAACAACCCCAATCTCTCAGCCTTTACTCATAAAGACTCTGGCCTCTGTAGGAAAAGAAAAATAAAAACATGATTCAGTTTCATTTATTGAAGGAAAGTTTTCCTAGGTGACACATAAAAAAGGTATGGGGGATTTTGTTACATACTAAATCTGCTTGTGGATCATTCCTCATCAGAGTCTAAGCAAAAATGGAACTGCTAGTGATTTCCAAGTCCATAGCGTAGCCAAAGAGCAGGTAAGAGTAGTCGTTGCTTACAGCAGCCTTTTGAGTCAGTTCTAGACCACTCTGAAGAAATCTGATAAAAGGGACAATGTTGCTTTTGCCAGAATATCTGGAAATTCACTTTCATGTATTTAATGCTAAATTCTTCTATTTCAGGATCACTGTATGCTTTGCACCGTTTCATTACATGATGTCAAGCATTGTAGCATTTTATAGTTCTACCTAAAGTGCCTTTCTAATGTGGCTCTCAAGGTTAAAAGCCTTCAATGAAAATACCCACTTTAGTACTAAATGAGTGTCTAGTCTTAGTATCTTCAAGAACTATTGTGTGAATTATAATCCCAGATGAAATAACTGTTGACTGCAAGTTTAGTTGTTCTGATAGATAATAAAATCTGTAAGTAGTTAGTCTTAAAGACATTAAATGCCAATACGAGCTCCAACAGGAAAGTATATACATTTTATCAGCTGTTTTTTGTCATATTCATGTGCTTCATTGAAATTCAAGTTGTAAACACTCTGGAATAGAGCTTAGATAATTTTGGTAAGCCTAAAAAAATGCATTTATAGAGCATATTTTGAGTTCCTTGCAACAACTTTCTTTAAGTATTTTGTTAAGGTTTTATAGAACACAGTAATTTTTACATGTTTATTTTGGGAAATACGAAATGTGAGGTATATCTTTTAAGTGATCTCGTACTACTTCCTGCTGGGGTTCTTTTCCTTCATGGCATGGTAGTTGAAGACTGACTTTGTTTTTCCTCTGTGTTTCAGCATATCGATATGCAACATGTGATGTATTCACCAGTACAGATTGCACCATGCAGCGTATTATGAACAAGTTACTGCATATTAGCCCCTGGAGTTGAGTAGTGCAGCCCAGAGAGCTAGCATTTTTCAAATGTGCCTTCTGTCTATGATGCTTTCTTCATTTGTGATTAAGAAGGCACTCTTTTGGTAGAATGGGTACTTACATAGAGCTGGAGTCTCCTGAGAACAAGGATAGGAATATTCTGCTGTCCAGATGTTATCTTGTCTTAAAATTTTGAATTTTGGTAGATCAGAAATGTTACAGGTATACACCCTTTAGTATCCACTGTAAGAATTGAAGACTTCCAGTGCATATGCTATGCAGCAGCTTTTATGTGCAGTTTAGATCGTTGAAGAAAATTAGCTCCTGATTAAAGGGATCTAGTAGTGTCAGATGTGCCATGAGGAGGTGGGAGAGGAAAGAGCAGTGTGGAAACTGCTGCTGCCTGTTTATAACTCCCACCCAACTACTGCCTCCCAGCTCTTGAGAGCTTTTCTTATTTAAGATTCAGGACCGCAAATCCTTGCTAAAATGTGGCATTGATAACAGCAATCATATAATATTTTCTATTTTTACTCTGTGGTTCCCCTTCTTTCTTCTGCATTAAAGGTGGGAACATGATATGCTGATAACTGTGGGAGCATATCTACAGACGGGAAAAAAACCAACAAAAAGACAACAGGGTAGTACTTCTTACATGAGAGGTTTTCACTCGTTGCGACTTGCTTTAGTAGCCGCTGAAATAGGAAGAGTGGGTCAGCTTTCAGGGAACCGAACAGTGTGCAGACCATGCTGTTGGCAGCATCTTTGCTTTTGACAGTGGGAAACGGGAGGAATTGAGGTTCCATTCTTCTTTTCCTTTCCTACTGATTTTGTCTTCTGTGTCTTACTGTGCTGTGGGGAGACCGTAATCCATTTATGACAGGAAATACAATATTGCTCATGAAGAACAGGGAGATTCCTGATCCTTTTCCTTTCTCTAAATGTTTTCATTTATTTCCCTTTTCTGTACCTCACAAAATATTAGGTTTATTAAAATAATTATTATGTCTTCTGTGTAATAATAGAAATCAAGCAAATGGGAACAGCAAGGGCTATCCTTTACCTGCTCTGGTACTGAAATTGTCATGGATCCTGCTCTGAATAAAACACCTGTGTAACTTTCTTCTGTAAAACTTATTTAAATTACAGGTTGCATTAAATGAATTAAAGCTCATGAACTGCACTGGTTAGAATAAGTACTACAAAAAGCTTTATTCTTAATTAAAATTCTTGTATTTTTTGTTAGCTCCTCCAGCAAAACCTTATTTGCTCAAATTAAAATTGTGTCTATGGCAGTAGGATGGCTGTCCTATAAACCATTTCTTGTGGGAGAAGAATACTGAGCTATTTGTCTGCCACGGACAGCAGTGTCTCTTTGGATTTCCTGCTAATGCTCAATGTGGTGCTAGTGGAAACAATGTTGGCTTTCCTGGCTTGGTTGTCAGTGTCAGCTGGGTCTTTGCTGCAAAGTCTCACCTTGCCTTGAAGAAGGCAAAGAGAATATGTCCATAAAAGAGGTTAAGAGGGAGAAGGCCCCTTGTCAGGGAGGCTAGGGACAGGCTGGTTGACAAGTGAATAGGGAGATCGGTAAGCTCATTTCTTTCTCCCTTTCCCCCATTTTATGAATAGGTATGTTTGTTTTCAGAGGGACAGAGTTGAGGTCATTGTAAACTGGGATATCAGGTAAAAATGTCATATGCTACTGATGAACGTACAATTTACTTAGAAAATACTGAATGACAAAAAATACTCGAAAGGGGCATAAGAAGTTCACTGTTATCATGGACATGATTGGTTATGCCTGCATGCGATAAGGAAGCTTGGCTTTAAAGTTACCTGGTTGTTTTTGTAGCAGTTCTTGTGCTTGTTGGCAAGATGAAACTGAGTATTTCTGAACTCTATAAAAATTATCTTGGATGGTATTGTGAATATTAATTTTCTGTTATATTTAGTATATTTAATAAAGAGATGGTCTTTTCCTTGCTTCAAGTAAAATCTAGCCAGATTTCCTCATATTATTGCATGAGGAAGAAAAAAAGATACCTGGTACAGAGAAGAAACAGATTTCTTTGGAGAATCATTTGCAATTGAGTGTATTTTCTGACTTGAAATAAAGTTTTGTGACAAAAGAATGATTAAGCTTAGCTGTAAAAAATCCCTACGAAGTATTCAGACTACTGTTTATCCTTTTGAAAATATTTTTTGTCTTTTCAGGGACTACGAACTGCATTTTCTTTCTAACCTGCCTTTGTGTGTACAAGCATTCCAGGATACAAATGTATAATACAAGCATAGTGCTCTGTCATATTACACATACATGAATACAATACGTGTAAATAATGGAAAACCTCTCCATAGCACAAGTGAAACTATCTGAGGACATGTAACTAACTGGCATCAATATGAACACAGAATTGGATTAATGGGTAGCTATGAAGGGTTTTTAAAACAGACCTCTTCAGACCTGATCTGGTTAGTGTCAGAATAGACACTAACATATGATAGTCTTAGCAGTTCAACAGATATTGTTCAATTTTTTTATTTTAGAAAAATTAGAGTTCAAACAGTTTAATATAATATTACATTCTGTAAAGGACCCTGCTAACATTTTGTGAGGTTTTTCTTCACTTTATACTTATGTGTATGTTTTCAGCAAGAGTTCCAACAAGACTTACTGTACACTCCTAACCACTTTTTCATTCATCATCCTGCCTATTTAGGTTTGTAACCCTCAGCTTTCTCCTTTGCAGGTGTCTTATTTTTAACTGTTTGAAAT